CGACAAACCGTTGCATTTAAAGTGTACCTTACCCACTGCCAAATTCAGTAGTTTTTCATAGTCATGCTAGATGTTTCCCGAGGGTTGACTTGCACGGGTTAGTTCAACCGCTTCCTTTAGCGGCACATTAGGTTACAAACTCTTTACATCAAGGGGGATTATACTCTCATCAGAGTCCAGTTCAGTTTTCTCCAAGATCTCCCTGGCCATTTGAGTGTTCGCTTCTATGTTTGCTCCTCAATTTCATCAAAGTACTTGGCCACTGTTTTATTTAGGCTGTCATATGAGCTACCAGGTAAAGAAAGGACGGGACGAAATGGTGTGTATTGTTTATGTGCTTTTGCTAATCATACAGCCTAATCGGCTGTGCCCCCATTGATCTCAACCTAGTATACAGCGCTTCGCTAATCTCGTTCTTCTTTTTCATGGCGAGTAATTCCTTGTTTATGCCTTTTTCAGTTTTCATGATCACGCTGTCTGTCAGCTTCTTCCTCTCACTAAATTGTTCTGCCTGTAATAAATCTTTCAGTTTCTTCTCATATGTCTCCTTTATCATTACACAAAAGCCCACGCCCTTATCAAACGGCACTGCCAGAAGACCGTTGTCCTTCAAATTTTTTCTGGCTTTTTTGTCAGAGGGGGTCTGTTTCACATTCTTAGCATATCTCTTTGCAGCTGCTTCAATCTCACATAATTTTTCTTCTGGAAACCTATTTAACTTTAAATCAGACAAAATCTGTCAATGTCCGCAAGGAAGTAGACTTCACAGGAATTTGTCTTGTACCGAATGTTTTGGTCCAAAACTTAAGACCTGTCGCACCCAAATCGGCAACACCACTTCATCTAAAATTCTAACTGACCATTCATTCGAGTTTTTTATTGGTCTATCCTGTCTTTCCGAAAGTTTTTTCTTGTGTCGGCTTATCAGGTTATTGACACTATACCTTGCTTGCAGGTTCAGATAGAATATTACCGAAGGCCACCACTTCTCATCTATACCCCTTGATCTGAAGAAAGACCGTTATCAGTCACGCGAAACCGTAAAAAATATGGTATATTGTCGTTATCGAGACATTTTTTCAGAAATTTAATTCTCAGGAAACTGCTATTCAATTTATTAAAATGTGTTAAATAATCTAACACAAGTTTTCAAGTGAGTTTTCTTTTCAGGGCCAGTCTAAGGAGTGGTGGTGTCAGCAAAATTGCCCTCATCTCTTCTTTGCAATCCACGAGCACTTAAACCCATGTGGCACTCAGCAAAGAAAAACAGCCTCAACAATATCTTACCACTTATCGGTCGTTCGGCTCCGACTAAAGGTCTCCTGCCAACACCTTGGCTCTCCGCGCCTTTGCCCTGCGATGGTTACTTGGTCTGGGCCCGTATCTTTGAGAAAATGCCTGGCAGGTGGTCTCGATGGGACACCACAACCCGTAGTGACTACAGTTCCAATCCACTTGACTGGTGCAGTTGAAGGTACTCTCTGAGGACCGCAGGATTCTGTCTCTTGCTTCTAGAGATAAGATTACCGGTTGTCTTTATGACTTTTATCTCTGTCTTCTGCAGATCTTCAAAAATATCAGGAGTGCCCGTTTTCCTGCAGTAGACGAAGTCTCGGAATGTCGAATAACGTTCTGCTCCACCCTTTCGAACTGTAGATTGACGGCGGGAACAATTTGATCGAGTCACCTCACCGCACAGCATAATCAGCATTATGTTCATTGATGACTTTAGATAACAAAAGTAGATCGTTTATTTGCTTTTAAAAGGAAAATGGAAGAAGCTTCAACTTAGTGAGTCTTTCGGAATATGATGAACTACTATGATAGCCAACAATCCATCTGTTGCATCACGTTGTACACCTTCAATGAGCTTTTTGCTGCTTTTGCTCGCAATACACGCGACGCTTCCCTATGTAACTACTGGAACAACCATAAATTTATATAGATTCAAATTGTTTTCAGACGCTAAATGATATGAACAGTTGCACTTGATAAGAAACAAAATTGTAAAGGCGTTCTGTACACTCAATTTGAAGTGGTCGTTCTATTTGAGGCTTGAAGATACATGAACGCCGAGATCTTTCTCACACGTGGTGTCTTTCAAGCTGGACCCATTGAGGTAAAAAGGGGTAGTAATGTTTTCGCCTGCTAAGAATGAGATAAGATGACTCTTGTCGTAATTGAACTCCATTTGATTGCTGATCGCCCAATTTCCCAGGCGGTTGAGGTCATGCTGCAGCAAAGTAGACTCATTTATGCTACGAATAGACAACAGTTTGGTATCGTCGGCGAACATATACGCGACACCTAGAACTCCATCAGGCAAATCTAAGACATAAAGAAAGAACAGCAGCGGACCCATGATGAAACCCTGAGGAACACCAGATAAAATGAATAGACGATTAGACTCAGTTCCGTCTAGATTTACAAACTGTCTTCAAATTGAAAGATAACTTCTCAATATTTTGAGGAGTTTTCCGCCTACTCCAATCTTTCGTAAATTGTCGAGTAAAATACTGTGGTTTTTTTTGTCGAAATCAATTTGCAAAATCAAGGTACACGGCTTCAACGACAGTTTCCTTATGATGAATTCCTTTGTATATGTCTTCAAGATATGCGATAAGCTAAAGCACTGTTGATTTCTTTCGCTGAAAACCATATTGACCATAATGAATGAGAAGTGCTAGGAATGGGTACAAAGCATTGAAGATACATTTTTCAAATATTTTGGAGCAAATATTGAGGTGAGTGATTGGCCTATAGTTACAAGCAACTTGAGGATCTCCTTTCTTGAAAAATGCGGTAACTTTACCAATCTTCCAACAGTGAGGAAAAATACACGTCTGTTTGAGTTCGTTGAATATGATACTCAAAGATTTGCCAAGCGCTGGCACTTCTTTGAATATAGCAGGAGGCAACTGATCAGGTCCACGCGATTTTGAAATATTGAGGTCATGAATGACTTTCATGACACTTGCGGAGGTGATGTCATATTCGCTTAGTTTAACAGTGGGGATTTCAGTCGGTATCAGTGAGATGTGCTCAACTGGAAGTACTCATTGAACAAACACGCTTTATCCATTTGCGTCGAAGCTTTGCGTTGCTCCCAGATGTTCGGTGGGATAGAATTGCCTTTTCTGAGGCTCATGAAACGCTGAGGATTGTCCTTCAGATAAACTAGCTTCGTATACGGCTTGTTCTTCGAGCGACTCCGCGTTGATTTTGTGTCTCAGGCTGTTAATTTTCTCTAGAAGAATCTCGCTGCTTATCGACTTATATTTGTTTTTGAGCGTGTGAAAGCTTTTTAACTCTTAAGAGGTAGTCGAGGAAATCCAAGGTGGTAAAGAAGCGCGCTGTTTGGTCTTGTGGGGAATGTGGGCATGAAGTATATCATTTAACCATAATACCATTCGGTAGTCATGACACTGGGGTTTGACCAGCTGACCAGCAGTTTCCATCAAAAAGCGAATTAGTTATGGCTTTGTTGATAGACAAATAATCAGCTCTTCCGAAACTAAGCCTCGGGTTTAAGAGGTTTGTGGTCTGAGAGTGTTCGTCCATCACTTGAGTAATAAGAGAGCATACATTGACCATACATTAGAGAGCATACAGTTTGATGTCAGTGCAATGTCAAGGCAATGATTGGCGGTCGCAATGAAGCTCACTAACTGCGGCAGATTCGTTGATGAGAACTCGTGAAGTAGTTCTATGTCGTATACACTATTGGAATGCCAAACGTTCTAATCAGTCGAAGGCATATTCGTATCTCCTAGAAGAAGAACATACTCTGAATCTTTTCTGACCAGATTGATGATATTGAGCACTGGTTGCCATTTGACCAGCGGAGGGTTGTAAAAACAAACGAGGATAAAAGACTTCCAGCTGGATGATATCCTGCAGAAGATCACATCAGAGAAAGAATCCATACTGCAGGTCATAAGTTTATTTGGGTCAAGGAAAGTATGGGGTACCGATGAGCGAATCGCGATTAGAGCTCCTCCATGTTTTGATAAAAATGACTGGGTAGTTTTTTCCCGTCGATAAACGCAACAATCAGTTAAGAATAAGTCCGCATTTAGATGATCGTTGGTGAGCCATGTGTCGCATAGACTTATTTTATCAGGGTTTGATAACAGTACGGCATTTGCGAAGCATTGTCTTCTACTCGTTGAAACGAGACTTCGCATATTGAAGAGTAACACGCTCAAAACATCATTTGAGTTTGCTTCTTTTGAATTGCGAGATGATGATAGTCAAGATTTCAATAGAACAACTACACCGTTGCGTAGTAGTTTAAGATCTCTGACTTTCAGTTCTTCTGGGTCTATACCTTCTTTTAAGATAATTTCTCGTCGCTTGAGAAGAACTTGTTGTTCAATCAGCTGCTCCTTTGGGTCCAGTTCACGAGACAAGAAAACAGGCGACAAAAAAGATTTCAGGTTACGAGCATTTCCGAGAGCTTCTCCACTGTCCACTGTAAAAGCACTGGCAACTTTAACCAAGAGTGTTCTTGGGTGCTTTCTGTCCTTGTCATACAATCTGAGTCTCTTAATGTCTTTGATTTCCTATTCCCTTTTGCCTAGATGATTGAAAATCTTTCGCACTTCTTCATCTTCTTTTCGTAGTCTGCCAATAGAGTTTGCTTCACTTGGTTCAGGAAGACTAAGTTTCGGGAGATTGCACGATAGGCAATATGGTAGGTTTAACAGGTGCATTTTGTTGCTGATCGTTGTTTTTTTAACAACTGTTCTGTATGCCGTGAGGTTTGTTGAGATGTTCTCCATTTCATTTTTCATAGAATTGTGACTAGTTGATAAGATATCAGTTTTATATTTCAGATGATCTAGCTTGTCAACAAGTATTGGTATATTTTTGTTTTGGTCACTCACCTTCTCCACAATTTTCTCCAATTTGAGCTGTTTTTTAATGATTTTCAGTTGAGATAGCAATGAAGCAGGAATTTGTTGATTTCCTAGGAAATCAACTTATTCTCTGAAATTATTTAATAAGTTTGACACTATTTAATATGTGAGTTTTGAAATTTTTTCCTTGTGTGTATTTTATACAGTCATGTTGAGGTAAGGCATTTTTATAGGTTGATTTAACTGAAATGGATCAATGGTCCACTGTCTAATCAAAGCTAATGGTATAATTGAGTTTTCAGCACTGTTTTTAACGGCGTTCGGGTGTTTTAGCTAATTAGAGATCTAGCCATGGGGACGTTCTTTTTTCTAGAGTGGGGATATTTTGGTAGTAGACTTTAAGCTTCGACACCATCTTGAAGCCCCATTTCTTATGGTCTGGTTTGATTGGGCGGGGGATCGGTTTTAACAACATTGGGGTTGGGGCATTCTACACGAGTTGCTGAGACAGTCCTGGGAAGCTAAACCAACTGCCCAACACTAGATTTTGTTGATTCCTGCGAAGCTGAATCAAATGCGCAACATTAGTTTGCTGGGTCTTGGGAAGTTAAAACAATTGCCCATTACTTGAGTTCTTGGAAGCTAAGTCAACTGCTCATTTCATGAGTCTTGGTAAGCTAGAACAATTGACGAACACTGGTTTACTGAGTCCTGAGAAGCTAAGTCAACTGCCCAACACTTGAGTCCTGGGAAGCTAAAACAACGGCCTAACACTTGAGTCCTTGGAAGCTGAACCAACTGCCCAACAATTGTTTGCTGAAACAACTGCCCAATACTTGGTTCCTGGGAAACTAACATAACTGCCCAACACTCCAGTTCTGGGAAGCTAAGACAACCGCCAAACCTTGGTTTGCTGGAGTCCTGCGATCCTAAACAACTGTCCAACACTTGAATCCTGGGAAACTAAAACAACTGTCCAACAGTTGAGTCCTGAGAAGCTAAAACAACTGCCCAACACTTGAATCCTGCGAATCTAAATGAACGGCCCAACACTTGATTCTTGGGAAGCTAAGTCATTGGCCCAACACTTGAGTCTTGGGAAGCTAGACTAACTCCTCAACCCTAGGTATGAAGTCTTAGGAAGCTCAAATAACAGCCCAACACTATACGAATCAAGTCTTGGGAAGCTAAATGAACTGCCCAACACTTGAGACTTGGGAAGCTAAATGAACTGCCCAACACTTGATTCTTGGGAAGCTAAATCAACTGCCCAACACTTGAGTCTTGGGAAGCTAGACTAACTCCTCAACCCTAGGTATGAAGTCTTAGGAAGCTCAAATAACAGCCCAACACTATACGAATCAAGTCTTGGGAAGCTAAATGAACTGCCCAACACTTGAGACTTGGGAAGCTAAATGAACTGCCCAACACTTGATTCTTGGGAAGCTAAATCAACTGCCCAACACTTGAGTCTTGGGAAGCTAGACTAGCTCCCCAACACTAAAGCTATGAAGTCTTGTGAAGCTCAAAGAGCTGCCCAAACCCTGGTTTTTGGGGGACCTGGGAAGCTAAATCAGTTGTTCTACGCAGGATTCTTGGAAAGACAACAATAAGAAAAAGCACCGGGATCATTAACTTTTAATCCAGACTGTTGAAAAAAAGATATAAAGACCAAAGCTGTTTTTGAAAGTTTAGATAACTGGAACTTTTTTTAAAGTACATGTATAAATAAAAGTGCACACAAACTGAAATTGTGAATAGAAAAAAAATTGAGAAAACAAGAGAACAAGAAAAAAACCAGAGTTTCGTTACCAGAGAAATGCAGAGTCAAAACCGTTCATTAGGACAGTCAAGACAGACACCAGTGGTAACAATATCGAGATTAAAGGGTAGAAATGATCTAGTGAGCATGGTGAAAACGAGGAGTAACAAAGAACAACACGAGACAAAAGATGCAGCAGATGAAACACATGAAAAACGAAAGATTGCCCATTCGCAGAAGTTGATTTTGAGAAATCTGAGCAAACATAGATTACGTTGAGAAGAAAGCGACGAAATCAACACCAATGCCAAACATCGCTGAGCAAGAAGCAAAAATAGTTGAGTTCTCATCAATAGATGATGCTAACGAGATCACTGACCCTAGAAACAATAACAGACGGTTTCCAATTGAAGAGGACATCCTACACGGAGAGATTTGCGGTCATGGTGGGGATGACACCAAATGATAAAGAAGAGGTGATAACTGGGTCCGGCAAAAGCAAGACGTTTGGGACGGTTTCCGCCATAACAACGAAGACCGACGAAGGATGAGAACAAATCACCGGATCCACTGGGAGAACAGAGAATCATACAGCGGGAAATACAACAGACTCGAAGACACCGCCTGTAGAAATTGCGGACCTGATGCAAAAATTGGAGCAGATAGACAAAAAACTCAAGTGCAGCGAGGAAGACTGGGAAGATTTTAAAAAAGAGGTCAGGCATAACAAAAATGAAAACCTTTATAACTACTTCACCATTTCGAGAGCAACTGAGGACACGTTATTACAGATGGCCGAAAGAGTAGAACAGACTGACAAGGAATGGGAAAGATTCATCAAGAAAGACGTGGAAGACATGAAAAAACGGTACAAAACCGTAAATGGCAAACTCTGGAGTCTGTAGACAAGAATATATACGATGGGCAGAGACCAGGCAGAGAGTTCCTGTGCAAACTATCCAAATTGGATGCGCTCTTGAGAAATTCTATAAATCAAGATGAAGCGGTATCATAGAAAACAGGAAAACAACCTAGAACAAACGTAGACTTTGCAGAATCACATCGTAAGAAACAAAAATCCATTCCAATGCCTCCAATCCATAACATCATATGATTGGAACTAGGAAATTCAGCAACTAAAGAAAGCGCATCAAATTCGACAAGAGTCCCGAGGGAATCAAATGTTCACACGAGTGTAGCACCAGATGCCACGTCCTGGGCAAACACTTGGAAAGAGATGAACAGGACATTTGAAGCATTTGCCACGAAAAGCACGGAGTCAAGCGAAAGAGGAGGCAACGAATCGAGGAAAACCTTCAAGAAACCTAAAAAATTCAAGGACTATTCGGACGGTTGCAATGACACATGGGTCGAGGTAATGATGCTAAATCTAGAGCAAGATAAGTTAAATGATGGAAGACAAGCTTTCAAAGCGATTCTAAGCAATCTGGAGGGCACAGCACTGAAGTGGGTAGTAGCAAAAAAAAACAAGAAAAAAGTGATACAGCGGACAATATTTTCGAAAAACTGTTGAAACGTTTCGCCTCTCGAAAGAAGGAACATCAAGCGATGATGAAGTTTGAAAAGAGGAGGCAAAGAGATGACAAATCGATTGATTGATTTCTGTATAATCTCGAGAGAGCTTGAGAAGAGGAAGTAATCCGGAGGAGTCCACTAACAGAAGGAACTTCAGTATTGCCTAAAAATTCATCGACGGTATGAAGACTGACGACTTAAAACAGGCAAAGTTGGCGACCTATTATACGCTATCAAAAGATAAGGCATCAACCCCAGGGGATATGAGGCAGAAGTCTGGAGAACTCATTTTAATGAAACCAAAGAAGTACTCATTTTGACGGAGCAAGACCTTCAAGGGGGAGCCAACAGCAAAAATCGACGTGGTTCAAGCTGAGACGCGATATGATATGGACAAGCGCAGATCGTGCGAGAGTTGTGGATCAACAGATCATCACCTGATTGCACCTTTTAAAAATAAGGGATGAAATCTCTGGGTTATGCACCAGATGAGCACGACCTTAACCAGATGGAAGAGCATAAATTCTACAGTGGCTTGATAATCAAAATTGGCGCGAGTTGATTTTTCTGTAGCCAGCAAGTACGCTTGAGAATATGTTGCCCTCTGTTTTGGAAAGCCGCGAAGAATCAGAAACACCCGAACGCAAATAAGCGCTGTACATAAAAACAGCAGAAGATAGGCAGAAAATGACTTGCAGAACAAGGAGTTGATAATAGATGAACTGTCGATGAAATCTGTAAAAGCAGTAACTGAAGAGAAGGAAAACATGGAAACAGGATCCCAAAGAACGCTGGAGAAGAATTACCAGAAAGCCGCAGCATATGCTGTCAACAAAGTGATACAAGATCTGGCTACGAACGAAACTGAACAGAGGTTGAGACAGGAAACAGAAAAACATCAAAGAGGCAAAACATTGTCAGGAGAAAGAACCAAACCTGAAAACCTGAGGTAAGCGACACTCTAAAAATCAGGAGCAACTGCTACACATTGAAGATGGAAGCCGTTCCAAATCACAAAAATTGGGTCGACAACAATGTCGATAATCACCGTAGGTGGTGACGAAGTGATGAGGAACCTGAGCGAACCAAGTGACCGAACACTATTGCAAAAAAGATGTGTATCTGGATTATTTGGGCTCTCTTAGTCCTCAAACTCCGTCGAAAACCATCAGGGCGCTACTGACAAGAGGCGGTGGGAAATTGATAAGAGTAGTTAGCAGGTATAACGAGGTCATGCTAACTATAGATGGAACCAACATTTATACAAAGACGATGATCACTTGTGGTGATGACCTAGTGGTTCAGATCTTCGTGGGCCAAGAGGAGCTCAAGCTAAGATCAATTGGAAAATAAGCCATGCTTGAGGAGGACACCATGCATTTGGGCACGGAAGTGGACGTGTATGCCCATGTACTGAATATAAACTAAAGGTAGACGTCCTTGAAGGGCTTACTAGTTACGGGAGCCGTCTTGAGCGTGATACTAATTGAAACAAGGACCTGGATGCAATTCGACAGACGTGACCTGATAGACTCCGGAATCCGGCTGCCAGCAGCAAACAAAGGGGCGCGAAAGGTATTTGGCAGAACACCAATCATAGCATTTAATTTGGGGCAGCGCAGTCTATGGATGAGTCTCTTGCTAGTGGAGAACCTAGATGAATCAGATCATTTTACTTCGGGCAGAGATTTTATCAGGAACTTTGATGTAACGAAAGATCTTAACAACGCCATGTTCATTTAGTTTGGGGCAACTAATCTGATTCATCTAGGTTCTCCACTAGCAAGAGACTCATTCACACATTTAATTTGGCGCAACGCAATCTGTGGATTAGTCTCTTGCTAGTT